TGTTATCGACAACAACCTGAGATGGCATTTAGAGCGGCACATCCAGTGGCCTGTGCAGGATCTGAAGGAAGGGAGCGAGATGACAACTTTCCTGATGGACAACTTCTCCCTTGTGTTTGGACACATCTTGTCCAACAGTTCCTACCCAATGCTGCAACGAGCCATTGGGGTGGGCAGTGCCTTTGAAGGGTGGAGTCCCCGGGAGGAGGATGTCGTGTACAGTGTCCTTGTCCCCCTCACTCCTCCCCCAAGGCACGTCTTTCATCTGGAGATGGACACTTTGGGCCAGTTGCCCGGGAGGAACTTCTACATCCGCGTGGAGCCGGTGTGCACCTGCAGGAGGGAGCAACAGGATGAGAACGTCCTGTGCTTCCTCCACCACCCAGAGGAAGAGCAGAGGAGGAACAAGGAGCCCAACTTCCTAAACATCCTCTGCTCTGACTCCTACCTCGATGTGGAGAAAACTGCCCGCTGGTTCTACCAGCTGGTGAGAGCAGCCTGGCTGGCTTTGCCTCAGGCACACACTTGGCAATTAGTGCTGCTGCCCTCCAGCCGCTCCTGTAAATTCAAGGTGAGCAGAGGCCGAGAGAACCTGATGGTTGAGGTGCTGTTTGGGGTGCAAGAAGGCAATTCAGACATCTATGTGAGCAGCCAGCCCACAGAGGCCCTCTTCACCCCAAGCACAATGTGGCCGGAGACCTACGCCGTGGCAGAGAGGAAGTTCTTCAGGCACATTGCCCGGCAGGCTCCACGGGACAGCTGGCACCTCAGATGCCTGCAGCTCTTGGCCCGTGCTGTGGTGGGCATTGGCTTCTCCACCTACACCCTGAAGACCATTGTGATGCACCTCCTGAACATCATCCCCGTCTCAGGCTGGCGCATGACGCGTTTCCTGCAGCGGCTAGAGGATTCCATGCAGTACCTGTATGGCTCCCTGCAGGAGAAACGCCTGGACCACTTTGTTGTGGGCAACCGGACCTTGCCTGAGGAGATTATCTTGCCCCCGGATGTCAAAACCGCCCAGCCACTCAACCTCTTCCATCGGCTGGCACAGGATCCCGCCGCCCACTCGCAGGCTATGGATGAGTGCCTTGAACTGGGACATCGCATCTCAACAATGCTGCAAGACGGCCGCTGAAAGAAGACTCCCTGCGCTCAGCTGTGCTTGGGGGGTCAGAGCTGACAAGCATTGCTAATATTCCTGCTGTTGTTCACGGTGGCTTGGGTGGAGAATCACCTCATCCCAGACCCTATCCCTTATTGATCCCTGAAGGGCCATCCGTAGGTCAGCGTTGTGCACACCCTGTTGGACCTGACCTGACATTTTTTAGCTAAAAAAAGTTTTTCTTTAGTATACATAGAATTCATAGGACATGTAAATATTTAGTATAGCACATATATATCTCATTTATTTCCTATAATATTATCTTTCTATATCAATATAGCCCATAGAAATCTCTCCCAGTGTCTCCTCTTGTCCCCTTAAGGGACACTTCAGGTCAGCATTACACCAAGTATGGCCTCCCCAGACTCTGTTGGAGCTGACCTTAATTTTTTATTCTATAAATATATCAGGTTTACTTTAATTCTTATTCACAATATAGTTCATAGGTCATTTCTTTCATATTCTACTATTATCATTACATAAATATAGCCCTAATAGGTCTCCCACTATTTCCTTCAACACGTATTAGCACTGTATTCATGGCATTTATGACTGCCAATCCAGAAAATGCTTTCCCCTTGTTTTAATAAAGAGTACTATTCTGGAACCTGGATCGTGCAAGTTTGTATGGAACTCAACCAGGCCTAGAGTCTTGGGAAATCACACTAGCTGTGAATCTGTTCTCGTGAACACTGGCACTGAGCTCAACCATACTGAGAGTGCTGAATTGGTTCTCCTCCCAAATTAGGCCTTTTGCCACCCCCGCCCCTCTGCTCATGAAATCTCAGAATGGCTCAGGCTGGAAGGGACCTTAAAATTCATCTGGTTCCAACCCCTCTGCCATGGGCAGGGACACCTTCCAGCAGATGTGGTTTCTCCAAGCCCCATCCCACCAGGCCTTCAACACTCCCAGACCTGTTCTCTGCTCTTCTCATTCCCTCTGATCTCTTGGGCCTTTGGCACCAGGCGCCTTCAGAGAGCAGAGCGACCCTTTCTCAGCAGAGCTCTGTTCAGGGGAGAGACGCAGCCACCCATGGCCTCTAGCTGGAGCCAGAGATTTATGTATTCCACTCTGCTCCTGCAGAGGCACAACAAGGGAAGGGCAGGAGACCTGCTTGCCCTCTGCAGAACGTCCACCTTCCCTTGTCTCTAGTTGGGTCCTCGTTTTCTTAAAGCAACCTGAGCAGAGGGAGAGGGAGAAAGAACCCCTTCCAGATGCTTGGCTGGCCCAAACCACTCTCACTGTGGAAGAGAGGATGGAAGTTGCCATCAAAGTAATTGATGAGTTTTTTTCCTCCCCTCTAGCAGCTCTTCCTTTTGTAGGGCGATCCTTTCTCTTGTGTGGCTTGTGAGATCCTGGATGCGAATCTCACTGAATTATTG